GGAGATAAGGGGTAATAGGGGGAGGTAAGGGGTGATAGGGGGGAGGTAAGGGGTAATAGGGGGGAGGTAAGGGGTGATAGGGCATGGTAGAGGTGTGAGATAACAAGGTTGGACAGGATAAGAAAGTGATGAGAGGAGAAGGATGGACACCAGATGAAGAGGTGAAACACACAACTCTGCCCTAGCTTAGAATGATTACTGGGTGCCTGACATAAAAGCAAAGTTATAGAAGATATCCAGACAAAGGGAGCAAGGCTCGACACTAATGGTAGCCCACTAGCCACAGACGAGTAGAAATTCGGTTTTGGCTATTGGTTTTCGATTTCCACTAACCAGTTTGGCTATTAAATGAACTGACACTGTCGTAGCATCTAAGATGTCACCAGCCGCTTGGCTAGTAAGTTGAAAAGTTAGTGTCGAGCCCTGAGGGAGAATAAAATGACTAAAAAAACTAACTTAGACTAGATGGACTGAGTTATAGACAACACCAATGGAGTTAGTGGAAGATCAGTAGGATGTTTTGGATACCAGATAAGGAGTTATTCAATCTGACACAGGAAACAAGGAAGGTGAGTGCATGCACAAAAGAAGAAAGGGGTAAAAAGGTATGAAGGGTGGAGTATGTAGGAATTAGGTGTCAGTAGGAAGGCAGTAAGGTGAAAGGAGATAAAAAATTCTGGAGCAAGTTAAGGTAGAGAAACTTGCCGGAAAGCAGGGTATAAAGGCAGCTGGGAGTCGGTGAAAGGGAAGGATGGATAACAGTGAGTAAAGAAGAGATGTAATGTGACTGCAGGGCAAGCAGCAGAATTAGTATTAAAACAAAAAGGCAGTAGAACTCACTTGTAATGCTTTAGCACAACAGGTTGAGAAGAAACTCTAAGCTTCTTGCACATTTTTTTTGTATCTTTGCTTTCTCTGTAAAAGTGCAATTATAATGATTAATTAGATCCAGCAATAGAGAGTGAATTGTCTCAGCCCAATGGTCCCCTTCTCAATGGAATTGCTCATGAAATATGATGAAAGGAGATAGGAAGGGTATGGAGAAGCAGCTAGTGACTATAATTTCCAAAAGAATAAATGTAAAATTGAGTACATCCCCTGCCAATTTCAATTAATTACCTTCAGGGTAATGGGGCTTTTTATCATTGTTCATTAAACTTAATTGATTTAAATATGATCATTGCTAATTTAAAATCTTCAAAGTTCTGCAGAGGAAGTCTGTCAAAGCTGGTCAAACTACCAAAGTAAATTGAGAGTGGATTTCCAATGGCAAGCCTAGGCCTTAGGTGTTTCAGAATGCAAATAAGAAACAAGAATAAAGAATAACTCCAAATAAAAAAAAATGGAAAAAACCCTAATTAAATCAATTCATCTCGATTTAAATATTTTAATAAAAGAGCCTTCAGCTGCCTAAACTATGCATTAAAAATACTCACCCACAATTTATGTACGCTACCGTCCCTTTGCCTTTAATTTCTTTTGCCACTTCTGCTAAGACCTCAAATCTACTTGAGGCATCACGTTCTACAAAATATTTTTGTCCAAGCAAAGAATAGTTTTCCTATGATATGTTGTGTGAGAATTTATGGTTTCTTGGGTTACAATATTCAGAACTTAAAATGCACCCAAATATTGAAAAAGGAAAGGAATATTAAATCTTTAATACCACTGGAGTGAGAGAACGTGCAATCAGGGCTTATCAATAATTGGTTAAGAGTATCAAGTTTGCGCATCTCGTTTTCCAGGCAGTTGAACTAAAAAACAGTTATAATTGAAACATTCTAAGAGAAAATATACACATATCAGCTGTTCACACTGAATCATGCATGGTTACTGAGAGACGAAATTTTGTAATTATAAGCTATAGCCCACGTAATGAAATTTTCAAGCAGATTACTTCCTTTCCACGAGTAAAAAAACAACAAATCAACACTAACTGAATTTTTTCTTTTGCATTTCTACAATCAGTGCATCGCACAGAATCTTCTATAAATTACCTACCGCTTTGAGCAAACAAAACAAGCAAATTGGTATGGGTCCTTTGTAATTTCTTGAATGGTTTAATATCATTTACTTCTATGATGGAACTTTTGTCGATTTTCTTCTTGGCTTGTTCGGATAAACCAACAACCTATCCCGTTAAATTAAAAACAATATTGCAAGGTAAGATTCACAAATAATTGAAATTGACTAGTTATAAGCGATTTAATTAAAGAGAAAAAAGGGCAACCAGTGTAATCTTTCTAAAAACGAAGATCACACCATACTTACAAACACAAGGCATATGAAACTGTCCAACCAATAATATTTCTTCGCCATCTTACTGGCGAAAAATTAAAATTCCGTATCTGGTACAAGCTCCAGGAAAACTTCCAAATTCGTAATGTGTAAAACGATGTTTTGCCACGTGTGACTGGAGACTGGGCTTAGTGGATTCTCCGCACGGGACCAGGGAGGGTATAATTAAATGTCAATTTTAATTGGTTATTTGAAACAGAAGAAAACTACTATAAACCAATAGAAACAATCTTTTTAGGAAAGCTTGCAGGCTCGAGGTAAACGACCAGCAGTTTTTAAAAGGATAAGGTCGATGATTGGATAATATTTACCAAAGCTGTCCAATCAGACTTGCTTTTGTCTTAGTCAACTAAGGTGACAAGATGGCGGATGAGAAAAAAACTCTTGTAGGAAACACTGTCCGTTCTGCTTCTTATAATGTTATTGTGCAGGTTACGTTTAGGATACTCACCTTTATAATGAATGGGATCCTCTTACGTTACACTACGAAAGATATGATCGGAGTTGTGAACGTGCGACTGATGCTCCTCAATCAAACTATCGTCTTCGTTGCCCGTGAGGCTTTCCGAAAAGCGTGTCTCAGCAAGTCAGCGGATAAAAGATGGGCCCAAGTCATTAACCTTCTCTGGTGTGTGTTTCCTCTTGGAGTCGTATTGTCCATCATTCTTGGTCATGTGTGGTTGTACTATCTGGAGATTCCTGATCCGGTGAAAATTCCAAACTACCCGTTAGCAGTGATGGTTTTTGCAGCTAGCGGGTCAATCGAACTTTTGTCAGAGCAGCTATGGGTTATTGCTCAAGCGTTTGTATTTTTGCGCCTCAAAGTTGTCGTAGAAGGCATTGCAAACTTTGCTCGATGTGTTATTACTCTGGGACTGGTGGTTTTTGTACCAGACCTTGGGATCATTGCATTTTGTTTTGCACAAACGGCATTCTCAGTTTTAGTAATGGTTTTGTATTACGTGTATTTCGTATACTACATCAAAACTGCCCCCAAGGATCAAAATAATGAAGAAAGCGACTTTCCTCTTAGATCATTGCGAGACTTTTTCCCAAGAACTGTATCAGGGAAGAGTTTTATCAGTGGAGCACTGGCGCATCTTACGTGGAGCTTTTTTAAACAATCCTTCCTGAAGAAGATTTTGACTGAAGGCGAACGTTACATTATGACACTGTTCAAGGTTTTGACATTTTCTCAACAAGGAATTTATGATGTGATTAACAATCTTGGTTCTCTGGTTGCCAGATGTGTCTTTATGCCAATAGAGGAGAGTTATTACACATTTTTTGCATACACTTTGGAGAGAGGAAGCTCTGCCCATAAGCAAACGCCTCAGTCAACAAAAATGGCTTCAGATACACTGGAGGTTGTTCTAAAGTTTGTTGTTTTAGTTGGATTGACGTTTTTGGTATTTGGCTACAGCTATTCTTTTCTTCTGCTTGATATCTATGGAGGAAAGACTCTGAGCAGCGGAGAAGGTAATTTCGACAATGCAATATCATAAAATTTTGGGACTAAATTGTAGTGCAAAATTTGGGTCAGAGTGCATGCGACAGAACTTAACCCTTCAACCCCTAAGAGAGACTGTCATCTACATGTAATTTCTCCCTACAATATCGCCCCTAAATCACTTATAAAGGTCATGAGAATAAAGAAAATGATCAGCAACCCAAGAAGCCCATGATCGTTAAATAAATTCTCTCTATCAGCACCTCAGGAACCAAAAATGTGCAGAGAACAGTATGGAGAAAATGCATTCTGATGTGAGGGTGTAAAGGGTTAACAGGGGATGGTACATTTTTAAGTTAGATATTTTAACGACAATCAGCTATGGGGAATGCTGTAGGATAGTTTCTTAGCTACCTTATCTAACTGATAAGTTTCAATGTTCATTTTAGGTCCCTCTCTGCTGCGATGGTATTGTGTTTATGTATTGATTATTGCTGTCAATGGCATGACAGAGTGTTTCATGTTTGCTACCATGAGCAAAGATGATGTTGACTCCTATAATTACAAAATGATGACATTCTCAGTGGTGTTCTTAGCAGCATCTTGGTATCTCACTATTTTTGGGAGTGTTGGATTTGTCATCGCTAACTGCCTCAACATGCTCCTGCGCATTTATCACAGGTTAGTAAAAGGAAATGTTGTCTATATTATGATCCTCTGGGTATCCCTTTAAGGTGCATGTTGTTGGTAGAGCTGTTTGACTCTTGAAAGACCTGGGGTGAAGTCATCATCAGAATCATGTATGTTATGTAACTCTTATTTTATCCTTCACTGAGGCTGTTAAGATTTCCTTCAGTCCACAGCAATAATCTTTTGATTGTGTAGTCTGATTTTCTGAGTAAGAGTAGTCCTGAAAATGGATTCTTGCTGCTAAAAGTAATTAGGGACTTTAAGCAAACCACGACGACGACGTCAACAAGAACGTGGAAAAACAATAGATCTAATTAGCAGAACAATAGCTCAGCGCGTGCATTTTAAAACTTAGTACATTTCTCAGCCGTCCTTTGCAAAACGATAGCGTGAAATCAGCAAAATTTGCATCGTCTGCGAACCGAAACCGCAACCGCAACGGCAAATTATTTCAATTTCCATTTGCAACTCAGCGCTACTTTAATACGTTATGTCGAGGTTGAGTTGTGGCGCCGTATGAGATGGTAAACACATGCAGCCATTTTCGAAACTCTAATTAAAAGTAGAAATTTATTTTTTAATGGACGTCTTCCTTGGCGTTGCCGTCCTGACTGCTTAAGGTCCCTATTAATGTTTTGATAACTTTTCCTCTATCTTTTGTTTTTTAGTCTTGTATTTATCTACAACTATTTCAAGTCAGCCCCTCATCTCAAACCTTTACAAGGACTTTTCCCATCAACTCTGGTTTTGATTGCATTTGCCTTTTCTTGGGGCATAACTGCAATGTCAGAAGCAAAGCTATGCTGTGAGCATGGATGGTTTTACCGCATTCTTCACATTGGAATTGGTGGTGTTTGTTTGTTGACTGTGGCAGTGTTTGTTTTCTTAAAGGAGAAAACTCTGGTAAATTTTATGTTGGAACACTGGCTTGGGAGAATGAAGAAGAAAGAGGAGTAGAGGAAGTAAATGTTCTGGTTAGCTTAGGAAAGGTGACTGAAGAGACAAGATAAATTAGAGTGCAAATTAAACTGCAATTATCCTGTCTTTCTCTTGTCCATTTGCAATTCATACTGGAATAGATATATCTCCTCATGCTAATCTTTTAATATGACTGCCAAGTATGATCCAACAGGAATGCAAAACAGGCCCCCTTCATATATCCCCGACCATTTTCTTGGATGATTTAGCTTAAAGTCAACTGAGAGGCTTTTTCGTTTGTAAAGGTAAGTTTATTAATACATCCATCATATCAAAACGAATGTCCTTTTGAGTGGTGTCATTTGTATTCTGGTGATGTATGTGGTAGTGTGGTAGCATTCCAGCTGGGCAAAACAAAATAATGTGACCAGCATTTAACGTTTAGTGTGGCGAAAACGTGACGATGCATCCGAGGAGGGTAAGAACTGGACTCATCTCTCCTTTGATCTGGTAGCTTTCAAACTAAATTTTATCATATCTGTATTTTATATAATTATAGACTAATTAGTTTAGGCAGGTCCACATCAGCTGTAAAGTTGCGCAAATTTTAACCAGCCTTATCAAATAAAGTTATGTATGTATGTATGTGTGTGTGTGTGTGTGTGTGTGTGTGTGTGTGTGTGTGTGTGTGTGTGTGTGAAGTGGCTCTCATTATTGCGCTGCGACACAAGCGTGTGTGTGTGTGTGTGTGTGTGTGTGTGTATGTAAAGTGGCTCTCATTATTGCGCTGCGACACAAGCGATTCTCGGCCCGCAATGAAGTCTAAGTCCTTGAGTAAAGCGAGCCGGAGAGGTCTGCATGGGATCTGGTACTCAATATTTGTGCCAGACCACAAAACCTGTGGCGTTAATCTTTCTGCTTTAGGTCGCTTGAGCTCACGTTAAGCGTTATGGCGGATTTGAAGGCGCGCTTGTAAGACGTACAAGTAATAGTTTTGGTTCCCCTTTTTCTGGCAATGAACTTCCACTCTGTGAGAGAAAAAGTGGAGAAAGTCTTACGTACACGGCAAACGCGAAACAGGTTTCTTTCCCGTAGAAACGGTAAAGTGCAACCGGCAAACGTGAAAAAATGCGGGAAAAACAAGGTCACGTGGTCACTCTTGCCGTTCACGTTTCAAGTAAATGCGTTGCTAAATCTCTCTAATGAAGTCCTGGAAATTTATTTTGGGAAACGTGGTGAATGCAACGTGCGGAAGTTCATCTTAATGCATCATATTTTGGGTGCAAAATAATGTAGAAACATTGAAATTAATTCTTCGGAAGTTTAATATGAAACATACTGTATAGAAATTAATGGATTATATTTCAAATGACTTAACAAACTTCCGCGACTGGGGTCGTTTACGTGTATTTAGTCTGAGTTCTTATTGCCTCCTTGTGAAATTGTCAATTTGCGTTATTGATGATAGAATCACAGTAATATTGTTGTAGAGCGTTTTCAAGGCTCGATATTTCAAGCATTTTTAGGTTTACCTTTTTGTTTTATTAAGTCTCGCCTTTTCGCCCCTACGTGCTATTTTGATGAATCTATAGTTTTGATGATTTATTTTTAGTGTGTGCTTGAACTTGGCTCAGCACTTACCGTGCTAGACATTTTAATCCCTTGTTATGGTTGAAGATAACTAGTTTGCTAGGTGGTCATGTTTGAGTTGGTAAAACTGACCTTGAGTTTTACCCACACTGAACATCCTGTTTTGGAAGTTCCCACGGTTAGCTAACCCAAACATGTCTGTGATTTTTGTATTTAATACTGGAGCACTCCTTGCTGAAAGTAGTAGAAATAAGTAGTAGAAATAAGTAGTAGAAATAAGCAGTGGAACAAGAGAGAGAATAAAGAAGAAAATTACAGAGTCTCAGTACCTCTTGTTAATTTGCCAAGCGAGTGGTAAAACCCCTCAACAATATGTCGATCATCACGGAGACACGCCCAAATGTGTGGAATTTCAAAATATCCATGGTCACAGAACACGGATCACCGTCTTCGTCTTCCAAAAAACTTCAATCTTGTATCTTTCTGCGCTGTCGCAAAGTCAACACAATCTCGATCAGCTAAGATATAGCTATCTGTGTTACGCATACCCAATCCCACTGCTGTTGAACCAAAACTGCTATCGCATAAGACAAGAAAATCGCTTTCAGCTAATAAGAAATGATCCACTAACATGGCAATGATGCCTTCCGTGGCCATCCCTGAACCGTAAATTGTAGAGTTGTCACCTATTTCTTGGGTGTAATTGTATTTTGTGCGGTTGAGGCAATATGCAGTTACGTTCAATATTTCGACATTGTAGCATACTAAGGTTGTGTTAGTTTCATCCGTGTAGTTGCACTGTGCCGTAAAGTTGAAGATTGTGGTGTTGAAGAGAATATCCAGATGTAAGATTGTCAAATTGGTGGTGACTACCTTTTGTGGGTAGATACCCTGAACTAATGTTCGCACTTGCTCGTTATCAGTCGAGAGAAACCAACGGACTTTTTCTGGTCCGTCTGTCTCATTGAAAAAAAATTCGCTTTCTACTTTAGTTGCGCAGTCGAAGAATTTTGACACGTTCTTGGCGTTCCATGTGCGGATGTTTTCAGAGGAGAAGTAATCAAATTGGTCGTCCCCTGTTCGTATGTGTATCCCAATAACTGGCCCTTTATGAAACTGTAACTGTGATCTCATTTCGTCCAGCTTACTTTCCAAAGCTTTTGACTTTGAGAACAAAAAGTCAAACGCACATCCTATAAGATTAAACTTTGGTGTGTTAGAAATTAACGGTGCAATTCCTAACTCCTTGGCGCGCTTCATAAGAAATGAATTCTTAGTAATCCCACCTTCGGCGAAATACCATATTGTGGTTATTTCTTCCACTGGCCAATCAAAAAACTGTTTTAAATCTGTAGAAGTGAACCACCTTTTAAAGTGTTTTGGTTCTTGAATGATGTACCCTTCTGCTTCGCGAACGTCCGTTTTCGTAGATCCCCAGTAGTGTTTTCGTATTTGTAACCCAGTGCAAATATCAATGGGTTCGCTGTAATTCCACTGGATGTTTCGCGGTGTCAGATGATTTTCTATTGGCTCAGGCGCACGCCAATCAATCAGAAAAGCCCTGTCAGTTAGAACTGACAGGTAAAACAGTGATGCTACAGCTCTGAGTCTGTTTCCATAGCCACAACAACCTTGTCGAGTGCCAGGACAAAGATACACGAGATATTTCTCTTCGCGACGCTTGCTTAGAATATCGTCATGTAATTCACGGTATTTTTCCTGCCATCCACTTCCACATATCTCAACTGTCTTTTTATGATACCACAAATCAAAGTTAAATTTCGTCCTCGGTATGGGACTAGGTGTAGTTGAAGATTTTCGACGTAAATCGGAATACTTATTTTTCATGTCTCGTACAGTTCCCTGAACGTTGCTGACCGTGTCAGTTTTTATCGGAAGATTCAATCTTCTGTGAATGATATGACCTTTTCTTTGGAAATTTTCTATTTTTGAAAGGATTGCGATATCTCTTTTTGTCGGAACAAATAAATCTTTCGTCGACAAAAACAAAGATTCATTCCACTTCAATTTTGTGGCAGTTTGCTCGCTTTTCGACAATTTATTCTTTCTGGTCGACGGGGAAAGTTTTACACTTGCCTTTGAATTTATATGAACTTTTGTTTGTTCGGAACTTTCTGTCGTAAAACTGTTTCCCACGTCAGAAGAACTTATTGTTTTGTTAATTTTTTTTGTCAGTGGAGGAAGGGCAGTCTTGAGCTTGCTGTTTGTTTCAAGGACGACTGGCTTTGGACTCCTACCATCTTCCTTTCTATTTTCGGAACTACTGAAATACTGGATTACAGTGTCGGCATTCAAGTTCACAAACTTCCCTGTGAACGAAAGAGCAACGGCTTATTGTTCAACGTCAACATAAGGCCCGTCTGTCTTTTTCCAGACTGGCTCATGTCAACCCTTTCTGGTCTTATACTCGTCAGCTTTCACTATGGTTTTCTAGGGGATTGCGCGAGCGGTGCCGGACGGGTCATATGATAAAAAAGTACTTATTGACTGTCTTATTCGGGCCAGACGGGAACATCTTTGGCTCTCGGTCGTGACATGCGGACCTCGCTGCGCTCAATCGGTAAGCCACATATTTTCCCGTCCGGCCCTCCCATAGAATCAACAAGTACCTAATATATAAATGTGTTAATTAAGATGGTTTTCCATGAGTAGGTCACTGAGGTCATATTATTCGTTTAAGAGCTTTTTAGGCAGCAGTAACTGCTTCTCAGTAACTATTAGGCAGGGAGCCGTACCTTGCTCTGTAAAATGCTGTGTTGTTCCGAAATAGTAAGCAAGTACTCCCAACGCTATTAGAACCAGGGCCAAAAAAGGTACAAACTCCCGATGGCATGTCCAGGAACTTCGGATAATTTTATGTTGTCTGACGAGTACCAATCCATTCAAGTCAGCTTTCCTAAAACGGAAAGAAAGTAACAAAACAACTTTATAAAACTCAACTTGATAAAACCTTGAGAAGCTCTTTGGCGCGTTTTGATCAGCCAATCCTTAGGCGGGAAAGACCTAGGACCTTCCGAAGAAAAACCTTTTCTACCTCGTTTCAAAATCTAACGGAGATTATGCATCTTTAGACATCGTGGCAACCGTCATATTTTAAGAAACTAAAGAATGGCCTGCGTGGTTGCTCATAATTCCTGAAAATATGGTTCTGAAAGCACGCCGGCTAGCCAATCCAACGTTCGCACATGCGCAAAAGTTTGCAGCTAAATATATTTGAAGCCTCTTGTATAAGTTTCTTTGAGATCACGGCTGATTGTGCGCTTTATAAGAGCGCGTCGATTTAGTTCTTCCAATAACCGCTCCAGATGCTTCGATCAGTTCTATGATTTAGAATCAAAAGATTATTAGATTTAAAACAATGTGTCTAATGTATGCCTGTCGAAATTTTGATAAGAGGATACTCTAACCAATCAATGCATTTGAGCGGAAATAATTTGCTCGATTGTGGATTGTTTTCAGTATTTTAGATAGAAAACTTACCTCCACTCGTTTGATGTTTCCATCTTTCTCATAAAATACCAAACTGAATTGAGGTCGCTGATACGTAGTGAGCAAGGAATGCCGACTACGTTACTCAGATCTGTATGTTCCTGGGGCCAAGAAATTTTGTCATAGATCCTTATGTATCTGGAACGATCGCAGTACCCTCCTTGCACGATTGATATCTGATCATGCGTATAAAGGTGTAGTATTCATTGTCAACAGTCTTGTCTTTTTCAGTATTGAAGCTGTCAGGTTAAGATTTGCATAGTTTCATCAGAAGAGTTATGTTAATCGCGTCTCTGTTTACTCAGTTCATAAAATCATACCTTTACCTTGATTGGTTAGCTGAAGTGCAGTCATCTTGTCAGGGCAAGTTAAGGTCAAAAAGCTCACGTTTATTCGGTCAGCTATGTTTGATGGAATGTATCGAAAATGAATGCGAGTGTTTCTTCGGGGGAGGGAGCGGGGAAAGGCGGTCGAGAATACGCTTGGCAGCGCTTTAGTTAAGTATTTGCACTTCGAAATTGTATGCAGCATTTGAAAAACTTCGAAGTCGTTGTTATAAAAAACCAGTGGTAATTCTCTCTCAAATTCCTTCTCTGTTCGAAAATACTGCTATTGAAATAATAATATAATAAATAATAATAATAAACAGTTTAACGTGGAGAAACAGTTTAACGTGGAGAAACACGAAACAACTTAAACAAATAATTCAAATTGAAAATAACGTTGTTAAGAATCCCAACTGGCCGAAGGCAAACCAGTTGGCTATATTACAAGCATGGCCGAGGATTTGAAACTCGGGGCTACCGTGAAACAAATCCAAGTAGTGGTCAGGGCGGGACTTGAACCCAGGAACGACGGATTCCAAGTCCGATACGCTGACCACTCGACCATGCTGCCTTCTGTTGAAAGGTGAACTCTCATTTAAAATCAGCAGTGAAAATATCTGGAGAGTGAAATAGGAAACAGTTATGACTGACTTAACCAACCTTAATCCTTACAGAGAAATTAACAGAGCTGCTTTAGGTATTCTCAATTTTTATGGCAACGTCACGAAATTCTGGGCCTACGCGGAACTTTTCCGTAGTACGTTCTAGGGGCCCATTTCTCGAAAGTCTCGGTAACATAACGGGCCCAAAGCCATATTTTAGAATAAAAATTTAAAGGATAGGAAAGCAGGTTCTGGCACCCAAACCATTTTCTGGCACCCAAACCATTTTCTGGCACCCAAACCATTTTCTGACACCCAAACCATTTTCTGGCACCCAAACCATTTTCTTAGCTGATAGGTTTATTGTATCATTTTCAAAACGTTTGAAATCCCTATCTTGAATGAAAACAGAACAGCGTTCCGGGCCCGTTAAGTTACTGGAACTTTCGAGAAATGGGCCAAAATCCGTACCATTAAACAACGCGATTTTTAAGACCCAGACCTCTCTCGCTTTTCCAATCCCCCACGGTGGTCACGCTATTGCCTATTGCGCTTCGCATCGCTTACTGGACGTTTGGGAGGGCTTAGCCAGTAAAGGTGGGGGGGGGGGGAGGGATCCTGGGGTGCCCGTGATCCCCCCTTAGTAAGCCTTTTTTTGAGTAAAAACGGTGTGGAAGTCGACATGACAATCAGGTGAGTATCCTCTGTTTGAACTAGTGTGAGCCCCCCCTTTGAAAAATCTTGGCTACGCCCCTGGTTTGGAACAGGCAAACTTTTTCGGCGATATTCACTTTCACCGTCGGGGTTCACTGTGGAATGGGTGGGGGGGGGAGAGGGAATCTGAAAATAATACAGGATGGTTGATTCACAATCACAACCAGTGAATATTGAACATATTGAACATCCCTGGGAGATTGCAATTCGTGGGTCTACAGTTTGCGTTCAAATGTGCAGACCAAATTTCTTTCTCCCCTTGATCTAATTCAAGGAAAACATTACAAGAATCACCAAATTGTAACGTTAATTTAATGATTGAAGTTAGCATTTGTTCAACTTTTAACTACTTTAGAGAAAAGTGAGAAATTGAAGTGAGCCAAGAATTCGAATCGGATCTACACTCCCAAATCGACGATAAATTAGTAACCATTCAAAAAAATTTAATTACAGCTATATACATTACTAAGATCCCATACAAAAATAAACCCGACTAATTTATATACCCGTTTGTGCCCGGGTATCGTACAACAGGCCAGGTTTTCATGGATGATTTACATACATCGTTATGGCATAATTTTGAGAAAAACACCCGGAATAACATTAATTGCACCATGTTGATCGGTAACTTGCGTGACATGAGTCATCCTCTCCCTATCAATAAGGTTGTCACGCAACGCTTGGCATCGCGGGAAGAGTCCTTGCGTGACCATGCCATTTACCAGCCAAGAAGTGTGGGGTTCTGAGACTGAACAAGGGAAATTTACACGCTCTACCAAATTTATGCGGAAAGACGAGGACGACAAACGATTATTTACAGGTGGCAATTTCTTACCATAAAATCATCCGTTGATTTGATGAAACACTTAGGGAAGACTGCTCAACAATGTTTAATTTGATGTGAATATTATCCCCTCACCTCGCAAAAAGGTCCAACCACTAAACCCCGCCCCCCCCCGCAAGAAATACATTAGGACTCCCCTGTGTGGTTTGAAGGAACTACTTTATAGTTCGTCTATCTTAAAAAATCAGCCTCACTTTTTCAAAATCGCCTTTGACAAATCCGACTTTAAATCCGCCATTCCTCAACATCACCTTTTTCTTCAGGCTTCCCTCTCACGATGTCTACTGTCTCTAGTGAGCTATACTAGCACGGTTTCCTATTCAACAGTGAGTTTTCTACGTTGGTGAAAAACTGTTCAAAATACCTTGACTTTGGTAAATGGTGACAACGAAAACTGGAATAAACTATGTCAAATACATGAAACATATGCACATATTTGTAAAATGTTAGTCAGTTCTATTGGGTCAGGACTATCGTACAGAAAACAGCACAAATGCACGGAAAAATAGAACAGAATCGTGTTCCAACTGGAAGAGGAGGATTAGCGAGAACCAGATATTAGCTGAGGTGAAAAAATAAATAAATAAAAACAAAACAAACAAACAAAGAAACAACTACTGGAAAATACGTCAATTCTAACTTTCAGAAAAATCAAATTAATTTTCTCCCAGGGTAGCAATCAAAGATGTACACGAAGTGAGCTCACGCCCCTTCCTTCGTTCCTTTCTCGGTCTCGGGAGGTTCGAAGTCCGCATTCGAGAGAACGGTGAAAATTGAGCGTATGTCATCACGCGAATGATAATGATAATAATAATAATAATAATAATAATAATAATAATGGTAATAATAAAAGTAATAATGACAATAATAATAGCAAGTTGTCGCAACACGACAAAAAATAAAAGAGAAAACCCAGAGAGAGAAGTCAAACCATGAAAGAAAGTCTGATTGCGTTTTAAATTAAAGGCTCGACTTCATATACTCGACCTAGTTTTTCTAACCGTGGGTAATTGGCTATCGTCCTCTCAGCCAATAAAATTACGTGGGGTTGGCTTCACGTTATTGCTTCAATTTGTTTAGTTTCCTGTACACATGGCCCTGGTTGGAATGGTTAAGTATCGATTCAATTTTCCTGCATTTATTTAGTCTATAAAAGATGGCGGAATTATGATTAATTTCTAAGAAATTCATCATGGAGAAGAGAGTTGACTTTTCTTCCTAATCAGCCAAAAAATTAGCTCTTAAGATAAAAAGTTATTTGCAACAAATGAGTTCTTCATAACTACTAACTTCCTCTGTACTTAGCTTACGTGTTTGGTTTATTACCAGTAATATATTACTACTTGTCTATGATATAAACACAAATTTTATCAGGCCCACTTAAAGATAGTTCAAATATGATTCAATTGCTACTTGCGTCGTCATCTAAGGCGTTTCTTTTTGGCTTTCGATCTGGAAGCTAAAAAAAGATAGAACAAAAATTAATTAGAAAACAACAAAATTTTAAAAAAGAGAACTAACGTTGCGTAGAATTTCTTCTACGACCAACTAACCAAAGTAAGCTATCGACATTGCACATATTCACAGTGGACAGGACGCCACTCGTATAAGAATAAAGTATATTGTGCTTACCAGTGCGACATATAAGGTAACATACTGCTACAAGATCGGAACTGGCTGAGATTGAAATTCTCGCCGGAACTTAGATTTTTTCTTTTGTTTCACGCTGATAACACCTGACATGATCCCGTATAGACCACTTTCATAAATGGCTGCCGGATTAATATTCTTTTGTTTAAATTTAAATTAGCCCTACTGGCCTCGTTCTCCAGTACAAAATTCAAAAGAATACATTATCTCAAGCGAGGCCAGAAGGGCTAATTTAAATTTAAACAAAAGAATATTTATACGGCAGCCATTCATGAAAGTGGTCTATTACCTGTGACGCTTTATGTCAAGAATTCGAGTAAACACTCACAACACAAATTCGATGTCCATTGAGCTAACCGTCTCCCGGTTAGCTCAATGGATAGAGCGCTGGACTGATCTGCGGGAGGTCGAAGGTTCGAGCCCCGGCCGGACCAACACTCAAGGTCTTAAAATAATTGATAAGAATATGCTGCCTTTCTGTAACATCAAGAAATGGTTTAGATATTCTAGTCTTCTCGGATAGGGACGAATAAATGGAGGTCCCGTCTCCTGCAGGGTTAGGGGCAGGAGACGTTAATTTCCCACGCACGAGATTACTGAGTGATGGATGTCCTCCCCTGGGGTGGGATGGGTGGGTTGTTGTCTTGCGTTTCATACATGAGCCTCTGGCTCGGGCAATATGGGTAACCATGCCCCATGTAAAGACATTAAACTTTGATTACTATTACTATTTACTCAACAGTTCACCACTGTTGAGTACAAATTAAAATTCCGAAGTTTCATCGAAAAAAAAAAATTATTTAAAAGAATTAAACTCACCTTGTCTACCTCGAAGACGTTCCCTCTAAATTCAAAGAACACAGAAAGCATAATGTTAAAACAAAGGCCTAAATTGAAACCTCAGAAAATTATCACCAGCGATTAAAAATACAACAGCAAAATACAGCTTGCCTCAGGTTGTACTACACTTACCACCTCGAGAGCCTCTAAAGCTTCACTTATTGCTTGTTCCAACTCAATCCTTGCCTTTTTAGCTCTAAAATGTGCAGAAATTATTATCAGACAACTAAGATAATAGTGCGTTAGAAAGGTCCTGAGGGGTTATTCAATCTTCGCACAAGTTCGGAAACGTTCGCTTATCAATCGGCCCACACTCAGGTTGTTCTTGGGTGATTTATCCATTAACTTCACTTACTTGTACTTTTTCTTACGAGCTTTGTCGTCAAGTGTTCTGAGTCCTTCCGATAGAGTTTTGAGTCTGTCCACTTCAACTTGACTGAATGTATGGTCACCAAACCACATCACCCAGCGCTGAAATGTGACACGGACAAATACATCAAATTTGCGAGACGCGATGGCCTGGAAACTAGAACAAGCTGTCCGACTGTTAGAGCTGGCTGGGGTGGCTATGTGATCAGCTATCTGTTCAAATCAACACTCCAAGTTAACTTACAAAAGGAAGCACTTTACAGATACCTTTCCATCATCAGGCCTTCCTTTCCCGACCTCACTTGCATCCACGACCTTGCCCGGCCAAGATGGCAGTCCCCTAGCCTGTGCCCACACAATATCACCGATATCAAACTGGGGTCTTGTAATGGGCACGGAAGGCTCGCGCAGACATTCTTGACTATCAGGCGTGTTTGATGACAAGGGATTCGTCTTGACATTAGAAAACGCGTTCTCAGTCACCATTTGCACTGGAAAGTTGAAAAGAGAGATGTTTTTTAGTTAGTTACTCTAGAAATTTAAATTCGTGATGCACCTAACCACGGACCCAAGGACTTCTGATGGGTACTCCAAATGCTCCATCACATATTCTGCACAGCACGCACGCGATTAAACCGCGCGTGAGTGATTCGGACCGACACAGACGAGCGAGAATCCACCAATCTCTACCTCGCGCGCACACGCACGTTTCCGCATTTCCGTAGAGCACTTGCCACGCTAGCTATCTACCACTGGGTTATACCGGACCCGCTGCACAAGTAACCAGCTGATAAGAACCTTGGATACTATCTGGAATTTTCTTAATTCACACTTAACAATTCATGTTTATCTCATCCATTAGAACCTTCCTTGTTCCCTTCAGAGTTAATTCCTCCCTCACTGGAATTTGTCTTCACTTCCCAGGTTTTCTTTTCAGGGTTCCTCCCATTCAAACGTAAGTTTTCTAAGTCGTTTACTTTTCGCTTACTCTCACCTCTTTGCTCTCGTGATCTCTCCTTTTGATTGGCTGACACGTCTCCGTTGTACACCGAGTGAGATTGGCGCTTGTCACTAACTGGTTCATCGTCGCTTTTAGCTAATCCTGCAAAAAAAGCGTGCTATGTAGTGAACTTTATCAAATCGTATCAAACGAAGAGCAAATTGCTTAATATACAGTCGCCTTCCCGTAACTTGGACCCATCGCTAACTCGAACTAAAAACGATTACTTCTCGTTTTCCGTCACATAAAAATCATATTCTGCGTAGCTGTCTCGCACTTTATTAGAGCACATTACGCAAAAGCAGAACTAAAGTTACCACAAAGGCCAATCAGAATCAAGGTAAAGGTCACAAAGAACCAATGAGAACTCCAAGTAAAAAATAAGTGAACTGACTGAAGCGCGGAAAAAGGCGAACTACCGAGTCACATTTGACTTTACTTTCGCATCTGATTGGTTGAAAGGAAGGCGTGAGTTTTTCGCACCAATCACTGAGTAAAGTAAAGTAAACCCCAATACACTCTCTGATTGCTTCCACACTCAATTAAAAAGTGCTCCCTTAACCGAGTTTGGAAAACTATTTTACATACTTCCACACTTATTTTTGAAGAATTCATCACCCTGCGAGAACAATGTAACTGACTGGGCAGGACGACTGATCCACTGGAAATTAATGGTGCTCTTTCGACTCAGAAAGCACTTTCAAAAACAAACGCTTTCGAATTTTTCCTACTTTTCGTGGACCCCCCGGCATTTGATATTTTCAAAAGTCGACCATATCTAAGACGGCCGAAAAATGACGAAATTGTGTATCGTCTCAGATTCTCCCAAAGTCGGAAAACCCGGATTTAAGCCTTCTGACCACAAGATCTGTTCTATGATTCTCCATTCCAGCTCCTAACCGTTTCCCATTAGTTTAGTTGAGAGAATTTAGTGTTACATCAAGATAAGATGAGGTTCTCTGGGCTCGTCACTTCCTTACTAAATAAAGTATTACTATTACTAAAAAGAAAAAAGATAAAAAAGAAAAAAAATGCTCCCACTTCTGCGGTTTAAAGTTTGAGACTGACGCTCAGAGTTCTCTAGTTCACCATCTCTGGTAAATGACGTCACAAGTGTTACTTACCTCTGCTGCCGTTTCCGTTGTTTAAGTTGCTACATTTTTTGCTGTTTACATTTCCTTCCCCTGATTGGTGGTTTACAGGGGAAGGTGAATCGTTTTTTGACACCGTGGGATCACCTATTTCATTGTCCTCCTCCTCGTCGTCATCGTCCCGCTCAGGGCTGCAGTAAGCTTCTATGGCTTCACAAGATCTCTTCAGACCCAGTAATGGATACGCTTCATAATACGCCGACTCATCGTATTTCGCCTTTTTGGATTGATCACTAGAGTCACCATAAGAAGTTCTCTTAAGAGCGCAAGATGCGTCAGATGACGTTTTCGCCGGGTGATTTTCATTGGCACTTAACGATTGACAACGAGATGGTACGCTTTCTGCGTTGCTTCTACCGCTTGAAAGGGGTGAATCACCCTTTGGTGACCCGCGGCAAGCAGATAGCCCCTGATTAGGAGGCAGCATAGTCAGTGGTGAGTTCAGGGGAGACGTAACTCCCGGATGCCTGGGCGACTGGCTGAAACTTGGTGTTTTGGGCGCAGTCACAGAGGAAGTACTGACTTCCATACAGCTACTTCTGCTTGATGGAACAGAAAAAGTACTTGAATTAGCCACACTGCAAGCCCCTGAGCTTGTACTCTCAGGAGTGCTGCACCTCCGTTGATTAGTTGCTCCAGTTAAACTTTTAGCTCCACACCATGTAGGTAGGTGTGGAGCAGGTCCTAATACATTCATCCTTTGACTACTATGACTTGTGGCCGAGTGACTGGAGGGAGGAGAGAACGCGCTGCCAGAACGTGGGGTGGGAGCTGACAAAGAGTGAGTCGTACTTCCTGAATTAGTGCTAAACGGCATCGCCACATACCCCAGCAGGGCGTGGGAATCTGAGTTATTTCCAGCCCCATGTTGATGAGGAGTAGTAGTAGCAGATGTAACGAAACTACAAGCTGGCGATGGCGAAGATGACGTCACGGACGGAGTGGTACTGGCACTTGGCGCTGCAAAATTCACGGAAAACGGAAATCGAGGATGGTTGACTTGGCCAAAGGCGACATACGGCATAGCAGCAACGACGGCTGTCTGTTGTTGATGAGTGTTAGCTTGACTTACGCTAGTAACAGTGGGCGATTGGCCACCGTATGATCCAGGTTTCGCTGTATTTAGTGGATATTTAACTGTGTAGTCTCCAAGGTTCAGAACTGTCTGCCCCATTTGACCATTCCCACCTGATTGAGGATGCATCGTTCCCATCGATACCATCCTCTGTGCGGCAGCAAATTGTACTGGGGCGTTGCCTTGGACCGCACCCCTTGGCAAAAATGGGGTGTACGCACTTGCTAAGTGAGCCAAGGTTTGGGAAAACCTTGGAGATGCAGCTGGTGCAATGGGGACGAATGACTCAAATGCTGCAGCGATTGCTGCATTTTGATTATTGTAAGAGTATGATGCTACTGGGGCTGCTGCGGCAACAGCTGCAGCGGCAGCAGCTGTCGCTGATGGAGATGTTGCTGTTGTTGGTACAGATTGACCTGGCTGGTTTGGCATAGATTGCGTTAGGGCAGCAGGCATCACAATGCCAAGCATGTAGGGATTGGTGGGGTACATCGTATGAGGGATCCCTCCTGGTGCATTAGATGGTGCAGCTTTGTTCATATTAGCTGTGGCAAGAAATGTTGCTGGAATAGCTCCTTGGTAAAGAGCTCCATGAAGTTGATAAGCGCCCTTCAGCTGGCTGGAATCCACATTCATTTGGAATACTTGATTTCCGTTACCTTGAAAGAAAACACCTCCCTGAGCTTGCGATGCTGTGATCTGCAAGGATGGCATTTGGGACGAGCCAGCCGTATTTTGCGCCTGTCCATAGATGCTCACAGGAGCAGATGTTTGAGCCGAACTTTGAGCCACGGTGGCAGCGGCAACATTCTGCTGTTGACTTGTAGTGACCAGAGGTGCTTGGCTGCCAAAGGCACCTGACGAAATGGGGTACCCTGGCATTTGTGGCTGAGCCTTGTGACCTTGTACCTGCTGGGACACACTTGGTGGTAAATGACTCACTTGGACACCATGAAGCAAAGCTGTTGTTACTTGAGTGGTTTCTTTGATTCCTGTAGGCTTGCTACAAGAGGAAGCGCTAATCGCAGACTGAGATCCTCTTAAGCTGTGATTGGGTGCAGCATTTGTTGTGCTGATGATACTTTTTACTGTAGCACTCGTACTTGGTAGAGTTGAAGCAATGGCACCACCTTGTTCATTCATTATTGCATCTTTAAGCACGCTATGGAATAATGCTGGTGCTTGAACTGTAGTTGTGACGCTTGGTGTGGATATTGCTTGAGATCTCGATGCATTACTGGCTGCCAGCTTTTTCTCAGAAGAAGGAGCAGAAGCATCGGCTGTAGAAGTCGCCTGATATGTTTGTTGAATAGGGTTACTAACACTGGTTTTTGCAGCATCAGCTGAGATATTGGATGCTTTCGCAGCAGCAGCAGCTTTGAGAGTCGCTGCAACTGTTTTTCTTGGTCCATAAGATTTTGTTGCTTTGCTGGTGCGTGCAGCAGACACTTTGGGTGTAGCTTTGACATCAGGAAGTTTACTTATATTGGCAACTGACTTCACACCCTGTGTGTCCGTTGAAATTGTTTTTGTATTTGTTGACACCACTGATGTCACTGAACTTGACGCTAACCTGCTGGGTTCCTTACTATTTGATGGTGAAGTGGTTGCTGGAGTATTTGCTACACCAAAGGTTGAGGACCTGGTGCTCTTTGGCAGAGTATTTTCTGTTTGACTTCCAGTCGGTTGTAATGCTGCAGCTACTGCTGTTTGCTGATGAGTGACAACTACTGTAGTTGAAACAGGGACTGCAGTCTTAGTAACTTCCACTACACTCTGTCCCATTGTAGCCAAAGTGGTAACAGCTGATGTAGTTGCTGTGACACTGTGACTTGGAGCTGAGCTAACATTGGCTGTTGTAGTAGCTGTCTTTGATGGAAGTAGTGACACTGCTGCTATAGGAGAGCTGCTTATCCCACTTGTTACAGTACTACTTGACAACTTAGTATTCCCCAGGGCTGCTCCTGGGTTAAAGAGTTTTGAACTGCTCACAATGGTCGCAAAGCTTGGCAAGGGGCCCTGTTCAACTGCAATGTTGGCTGGAACACTCTGGACAGGACTGTTAGCAATGGAGCTTGGAACAGGAAGAGGGATATTATGAAGTGGTGAGGTTGACCTGTCAAGGTCATGCTTTCGTACAGCAACTCTCCGTGACTTGGATAAGGGATTGCGGGGTCTTCCTGGACCTGGAAACAATACCATCACGACAAATTTAAGTCAAGATTGGTTACAAAGTAAAAGGGCCAATATGGCATGTAACAAAAGATCAGAACTTTCTTCTGGTTTAATGACACTGAGTTGAAATGCTCTGTAAACTTGAAATGGACTGTAAACTCCTACAAGGTAATTTTGGTTTCATCAACAGAGTTGATTACATACATTGGCCTCTGTAAAGAGTTTCAAAGCTGGCATTTTGAAGATTAACCCTTGGTCAGAGCCCTTAACCCTTCCTCATTTGCTCTGAAGAAGGGATAACGCTCAAAACATCAGCTTTAAAACTCTTCACAGTGGCCAATTTACTTTGTCAACTCAGTTGATAAAACCAAAATTACCTTGTTACTCCCACCGATGCAGCACCTTATGAAACTTAATCCTTGTAAACTCCTTTAGATTTTCTATAACAGTTTTGCCTATCAATGGTCACACAGTACCTCTTTTGGGGGCCACTGCTGAAAATCCTGACAGCTTAGCATCACTGGCTTGATTTCCTGCAACTTCTGATGGCTGCTGAGGGTTGTTTGAGTCAATAACACAGTGTTTGCAGCCTGATTGTGAAAGTTCTGCTCTGCTGTGCACTGGAATTAGCTTACTTGGAATTCTTGCATCAAAGTTGAACACTTTGTGAATGAAAAGGGGACACTCAAGTCCACATTTACAGGTCCCATCTGTCTTGAGATACTCAATCACATTTTCTAAGGACCTCAATCGGCTGTTGTTGGGGCTGCAGAGTAATAAACCCATTTAGTAAAAACATTCTTTGCCAATTCTTCTGCAACTGTCTTTCTGTTAGCACTTTGCTAAATACCTGTTGCCACGAGCTTCACAAATACCAGAAAAATAACAGCATCACCCCTTATCAATCATTAAGGTCATGAGAATAAAAGAAATGATTGTGAATTCAAGAGGCTCTTGATTGTTAGACAAATTCTCCTTGTAAATACCATAGTAAAATATAAAGAGAAAAGTATAGAGAACTTGCATACTGATGTTAGGGCATTAAATTGAGGCAAGTTAATGAGTAACTTAAAAGTCACGAAATCTTAGTGAGGTGAAACAAATTAAAATCAGTCAATGGGAAAATAAGCCTCCTCATAACAATTAAAACAATGATCAGGTGGATGATACTATTAACATTCAAGTAGTTAGTTTGTTATGTGAACAAGTGATTTTTTTAATTCCAAATGCAATCTGAGAACTTCAAAATGTCACAGATGAGCATAAATATCAAATGTACAGTCAGTTTATACAATTACTTTACATCTTTTCTATTCCCACACAAATTAGCGCACATGGAAAATGTAGAAATTCTACTCTGGATATATTCAGAGACAAAAGGACATACATACATAAACTTTATTAATGAGTCTTGAAATATCTAGCCGATGGGGTTAAGAACCCCTCTACTAATTGGGGACACAATTAATAACCTATCAACTATTTTTTAACGAAACTATTGCAAAAAGGCCTAACAATATAATATAGTTAAAAACCTATTAACTAATAACTAATGGGATAACTTATTTAAAAAGATTTAAGAATTACAAAGGATGCAATTGGAACAGTTGTCGTCTCCTACCATTACAACTAAATAAAATTTACGAATATGATTTTTAAAACTAAATAATGATGGGAGAGTTCTGATTTCACTCAGTAGCTTATTCCACTACTTTGGTCCCAGGTAGGTGAGTGAATGTTTACCATATTTATTGGTCCTAAATCTGGGAATGGTGAACTCTGCCATCCTTAAGTTGTAGGGCAAGCAATGTGTGTGAAATAGCTTGCATATTTTGATTGGACACGGTTTGTGTTTCACCCTGCACATAAGGATAGTGATATCTTGCAGTCTTCAGTTCTGAAGCGTCGTTAGATCACTTTTATCCAGCAATGCTTATAAAGTCATTATTATTATTATTATTATTATTACTATTATAACTTTTAAGTACTGCACTCTGTCACCTATTAATGCATTTTTCATCGGCCCAACAGAAATAAGATACTTTTCTAAGAACACAACAAATTGTAATCAATACAATAATAGTGCTCATTTTTCACAAAGACAGACCATGAATGCGACTGTCAATTTTCCTGTTGGACAACGATAAAAGTCAAAAATCATTTTAAATGGATTTCTGGTGATTACAGCAAGCTGTAATAACAACAGCAGAGAGAGTCCATTATTGAACATTAGCATTAATTGTGGTAGACATACTGGGCTTGATATTTTAGAAATGATATTCAAGGAAATTCAGGAAGAAAAAAAAATTTGAATGAATACTTTATCAGTTTACAGAAATGTATGAAAAATCATCAAAAGTGAAATTTGCTTTCACCAGACATTATAATTAGAATGTCAAGCACGTGTGAAAATGACTTGTTAACAGATTTTCTTAAAGCAGTTTTTCACTTTCAGTGAAACTAATAATTGAAGTTTTCATGTATGTCTTAATGATCGATAGTTCTGGTCTTAAAATGAAAACAAATTAACGTTGAGAGAAATCATAAAACAGGTAAATCATGGTGAGAGTTCAGTGACAAATTTTTAAATTCTCCATACCATTTTCTTCAATCCTGCTTAATTGGTACAGTGCTGTTTAACAGATAAAATATTCTTCAGATAAAATATTCCAGTGCTGTTTTACAGATAAAATATTCTTCAGAAGAGGTGAATTACAGCTCAGATCAAAACAGTCCTTGTCCCATTTATGTATAATTGTCTCTGAATCTGAAATTTCCATATTTTTAATCCCCTGTCCCATTTTCTCTGGCAAATAATACTGTACAACTACAATAAGTTAGGCAAAAATCAGGAAAAAATCAACAGTGCTTCCTTGTTTGTTTCACATATCTGTAATGGTGAGCAATGAAGTTTATGTTCTCATTTCTTATCAGTATGATGAGAAAAATTAAAATTCCTGTGCTGAGGATTTTTCTGGCTGAGCAAGCTATGCTTTAATATGAAAAATCTGGGTTTGTGAGGCCTGCCAGTACATCAGTTTAGCACGAACAAGATAACAAATTTCCTTCACTTCTCAGTATATACCATGTTCACACGTTTAAATAGATTACCAAACTTTTCAACTTTACACTAAACCTCATATAACTGTAAGCTTTTCTCTTAGATCTGATCCTATGTGCCAGAAAAAAAATCTTTGTCATTCAAACTTCATTCTGAAATCAGATCGATTTCTTTATTCGGGAGGATATAGCCCCGGGAATAACAAAAACATCATAGAAACCCAACGATGCCAAAAGGAACATTCGGTGTACTAAAATTTGCGAACAAAAATATTTAGATCGCAACAGATACTTGAAGGCCGGCGGAAGTCAAATCAACGCAGAAACAGCGAAGGAAAAAGTGTTGTGGAATCAGATTTTGGTTTACTCCAAGACTTTCAGGTTTTATTTTCTGAAAGTTAATTTGTTTGTTATGCTCCGACAGAGCGCCATTAAATAATAATAAAGAGATTCCATTGACAGTTCACAGGATAAGTAAAATAAACCAAGTTTAGGCTACTACTCAGATGAAGTTAATCTTCCACCGATTCACACGCAAAGAAAAGATAGTAGGCGAAAACGCCACAAATTCGACATACCTTATGTACAAAATGGAACCATTTTCAAGAATCCGGCTCCAGCCTCGTGGAATTTCAATGCATTTAGGTCCATTGCTGGGTTGTTCACTGATTCCTTGATCACTCATGATAATCCATGAAAATATCTCATCCTCTTAAATCGAGTGTACAAGCAAAGGCTCCAAGAATCCCACAACGTGACATTGAGCGAACAATAGATGCTTCGGTAGCGGGAACTCGCCGACGGTAACTGTATTCAAACACAACTTCTTGTGGCGCTCAAAGCGAATCCGCACGCTCAGTGTGACCATCCACAATAGATTACCCCTCTAAATAGATATGGCTGTAACTCTTTTAGATCCTTACACCGATAAGTGCTCAAAATGTGACGCCAAACTACCTATGTCCACATGTGTGATGACACAATTCTCTACTAGAAAAAGACCGCCATATTGGATATGCGTGTGGCATTCTATATTCAGGAAGGCCTCCGCTGAAAGAAATATTTAATACGCTGGCTCATATTCCAAAGCAAAAGATTGTCCTTTACTTTTCACAATTTTTTCGTTTTATCCTGCAACAGGATTGTCCTTTTCTCAGCAGTCGCCTCTATTTGGTTAAGTGTGGTAGTGTCTTTTCTTCAAAAAAACTTAAAAAAAAAACACCACGAGAGGCTCTGACACTGACCACCATTGGAGGGGGGACAGGGGGACAGGGGGGAGACAGGGGTGGGGAAAGGGGTGAAAAGAACAAAACCTGTCAAGACTTGAAAGAACACTTCATCTTCTTTCTTTTTCAACTGTTTGTATCCTGCGTATCATATTGTTATCAATCACCAAACAAAATAGCCATGATAACACAGATCAAAAAATTGTTTTGTTAAAATTTGATAATGTTTTTTGGCAGGTTTAAAACGAGGACAATAATTTATACCAAAACCAAGTAAAATTTAACTTGCAGAGAATTTTCAAGTAACTGTGAAGGTGATTTGGAGATATACTACACTCATCTGACTTTGCAGGGATCATTGTGACTTTTTCCTGTACAAAGTACCAACTAGGAATCCAATTCAAAAGGAGCAGCTTGTCAAAGATCATGTTCAATTTAAAAATGCCTTACACCCATTATAATTCAATATTTCTCTGTGGTTAAAGGTACCAGAGATAAAGAAGAACTGAAACCTGAGCCTGGATTTCACATTTTTTATTTAAATGTTGGTTGCATGCACCCTGCAATTTAAAAGGAAGCATGTTATTAATTGCATACTTTGACAATTCAGTAAATAAATGGAGTTTGACACAGAGTGTCTACCCACATGATGTAATATGATTATATAATTAAGAGTAAGATACAATATCTTACAAAGATGCAGTGACAGGAAATTACATGGACACAGGTACAAATTTCATGATCACAAATTATGCTCAATGAGCTTTGAAAAAAATTCCAAAACATCTTCACCCTAACTCCCAAGATTTGATTGTTGATTCTCCCCAACCAGCTGCTACATATTTCCTTTTAAATTAGTTACAAGAATTTGGTGTTAGATCAAGATAACAGCTTGAACCTGATAAGTTTGAGTATTCTCATTACCTGTTTGCTTGACAATGTTTGGATATTTTAGGGAGAAGTTATATGTTAATCACTCCTGAGAGTTAAAGGGCTAAGTGACAATGAATCACAAAGTGAAAGTCAATCATTATCGACAAAAGCACTCTCTTGTCAGGGCCACGTTAAATTGCATGCCATAGGTAAACAGTACTTACAACTTAGCAATGCCTTAAAACCTAAAATAAATTATTTTACATCTATTAAAACAATTCTACTACCTAACACTTAGGGTAGAGGTTTGATTGAAACACCTTGAATAGGAACTTTGCCTGCCCCTTCCTACTGTAAAAACCCCTTCCCCTCTTAGGACCATGTTCAAACCCAACTTCTTTCAAGAGAAAACTTAAGGAAAATAAGAGTATTCTGAAATCTATCAGTTTTGCTAAAGCTTCCTGCAGCCTTTCCCACAAATCTTTTGAATTTAAATACTTTTAATATTTACTCTGTATTGTTATTAATATTTATTTATTCCAATCGTCATTATTTACATACCCATTTTCGATTTATTCACTATCTAGGTTTTTATTAATTGATAATTTTAATTAGTGCAGGTCCACATCAGGACTTAATGTCTTGCCTACCCCTCAACCTGCTTTATTAAATAAACTATGATGATGATGATGATGATGATGTTTAATTTTCTACTTTCCTTCTTTTGATTGCTTTAGTTGAAACAAAGCTGAATTTTTCAAAATTTTTTAAATTCAGATGTGGTGAATTTTGCACATCCACGTAACAGTCTTGTTCACTGGTGTCAAACAAGCATGGATCATCACAAAAAAGGCAAATGGAGCTGAAAAAAAAAGACTATTAAAAGTGACAGAAATTTACACCCAAACTAAAAAGACAAATAGAGGAAAGAAAACAAAGAGAAACAAAAAATGTGGCTGGTCCATGGAGTATAAAAATTCCTTAGCCTGTAAACCTGCTGACTGGTATGTTCAGGGCTAAGGCAGTACACTGAAAAGAAGTCAAGTCTGAGAAGGTTTAGCAAGTTGTCTCTAGAGTACAATTTGGTTTATCAACTGAGTTGATAATGTAAATTGGCCACTGTAAAGAGTTCCAATGCTGACGTTTTGGTAAAATTCAATGATAGCTCCCTGAAAAACCTGTCTGCCGACTGTCGGTAAAGTGTTGGCCAACAGGTCACCAACAGGTTACCAACAGACGGCTGACAGTTGGCCGTCTGTCGGCCGACACTTTAGTCTGCAACATAACGAAAACTGTCCATCGACTGTTGGCTGACTGTTGGCCGATAGTCAGCCATTTGTTGGTCAACTGTCAGCCGTTTGTCGGTTGACTGTCAAACGTTTGTCAGTCAACTGTCAGCCGTTTGTCGGTCGACAGGTTTTTTGGGGAGCTATTATTGAATTTTGCCAAAGTTTTGGGCATCAGCTCTTGGTCAGAGCACATAGCCACAAACCAAACCACACAAAACCCACAAATCCTCTATTTACTTCGACAAGGGCTAACATTTGAAGTTTCACCTTAACAAATTCTCTATGGTGGCCAATAAACATAATTTATCAGCTCAACTAATAAAACCAAATTATCTTGTAATACCACCCTCTTGACTCTAGATTTGCATAATTGAATAAAATCTTGCATTCTGATTGGGTAACGAAGCGAGGTATTTTGCACGGAATTGCACATTAAAAATGAGGCTATATGATATTAATTTGTATCTCTCATTTCTTGCTCAAGATAAGAACAACGTTATTGCTGTTTTCTTTTTTTCATTTAATTATCTGATTCAAGGAAAATCCATTACCTGACTCATGAAATTTGTGTTAAATTGCACTTGATAACTGATATCGCACTCATTGCTTCACAGTTTGCGTGATATTAGAACGTGGAACTCCTTCGTAAGGTAACAAATTTTCCCATAGAATACCCCATGTTGCCACTAGTGATTGAACTCGATCATCTTTCTCTCTCTCTCTCTTTTGTGCCTCCTTAAACTTAGTGTAAGTTTTAATCCACAACACATTAGATTAAGACAGAAGCTAGAGCTAGAATCTGGAGCTTGGCAATAACTTTTACAATTATACTGTGTACACCCACTTAAGGAATAGGAGTGAAAAATTAGGAAACCATTAAAAAAAGAGAGAAGTTTAAAAGAAAATGACAATGCATCTCACCAATATAAAAAATGAAAGGTACAGCTCCTGGAAGCAAACCATAGAAAGGAAGCTCAAACATGACCAGAGCTATTAACTGCTCTGAAAAGGACAGCTTCTGACCTGAAATACAGTTGGACAAAAATTACTAAGAATGAAAAGAATGTTAATTATAAAAATTTTAAAAATTACACTGTTTCTGGAGACTCTATATCCATTTATATCATTTAACACAATATATTTACATTTACACAGATAATTCTCCTGTAAGTTTAGCCTTTTATCACATGAACAACATAAATGCAAAGAATAACATTATTTTTTTTAAAAATGACCACCAGGGTGAAATTTGTGTAAATGCACAACAATAAAATTTATTATTAACTAAATGCTGACAGAAGATTTTGTTAAAATTTAGCCAAATTAAAAGAGATGCACATGTGGACATGGCCTAATCTTTCAACTTGGAAGTAAATTTATGGAAATAAATTTTAACAAATAATTTCTCTACTTCTGATCTGTTCTATGGAACAGATTGGAGCAGCTGATCTGGGTTTTATCATTACTATCATTATATGAGGGTCTATGCACCTACTTGTTTAATGATGATGATTGCAATTTTATCTTCACTTTAATAGTTTCAGTACAGCAGTTGTACTTACCTAACAGAGTAATCGAGTAGAACCCAACCACATTTAGCACACAGATCACAAGGATTGAAAAACTTGTCCAAAGAACACAAAAGTTCAAATCCTCTGAATCAATCCTGAGAATATAATAGTTAAACATACGTATATGAGAACGATCCTTCGCAGTAAAGCACTATTTGAGCAATAGTGAAAATCCTGAAAAAAATTTCAGGCCTGTACGGGACTCGAACCACTGACCTCTGCGATACTAGTGCAGCGCTCTACTAATTGAGCTAACAAGCCAACTGGGAGCAGGCCATCAAATTAATTCATTAAATTGGTAGAGCGCTGCACTAGTATCTCAGAGGTCAGTGGTTCGAGTCCCGTACAGGCCTGAAATTTTTTTCAGGTCTGATTTTCACTATTGCTCAAATAGTGCTTTACTGCGAAGGATCGTTCTCATATACGTCTCATAACCGCAGTTCACACATATGTTTCATATGTTTGTTGTTGTTTGATTTATCATCTACGGGTTTATATCGAATTAATTTGATGGCCTGCTCCCAGTTGGCTTGTTAGCTCAATTGGTAGAGCGCTGCACTAGTATCGCAGAGGTCAGTGGTTCGAGTCCCGTACAGGCCTGAAATTTTTTTCAGGTCTGATTTTCACTATTGCTCAAATAGTGCTTTACTGCGAAGGATCGTTCTCATATACGTCTCATAACCGCAGTTCACACATATGTTTCATATGTTTGTTGTTGTTAATAGTTAAACAGTTGACAATTAAGACATCAAAAAGATAAGTCACCAGTTTTGTTTTCACACACCATCATGAACACATTTCAGACTCCTGACCTGGCCAAAACTCAATCTTCATCCACTCTGATTGGTCAAAAAAGCAGCCTCTCTCTCATGCTGCCTGGTAAATCCATAGCTTTTTCATAAAATTTTAGCCAATGATGACCAATTTTCTTTTTACACACTTCTCACATCTGCATGGGTTAAAAATCATGCTGGTAAATCACTGTTAAGTGTGATCTATTGCCTTTTTAGACAGTTGTCTTCAAGCTCACAAACTTTTTGTCACCTTTCCTACTAATCAAGACAAAAACTGAGATCACATACTTCAACAGAAATCTACATAAGTATTGGAGGCTGGATACTTACACTACGACAGCAACAATAACAACAAGCAACAAAATCCATGAATAATTCAACTGATAGTATGTCATGTTCTGGCCAAAATTTTCAGGAGCAAGATTGCACTGGCCTCTTAGACATACAGCGAAGAATCTTTTCCAAGGACGCGTTATGAGTGGAAAGACAAACTGGAATCCTCTGGTGTCTTCAAAAACTCTCGTTGATTCTTTTTCTTTGTACGGTGGAGGATCCTCAAATTCAAAATAGCTGGGAATCTCGATAAAATGATTGACACTGTCTTGCTTCTCGGAGTCACTGTTATCGTTCACGTTATATGTAGTTTCATATGAAGGAGGGGGTCCAAGTGGAAAGTCCTTCAAGTTTTCTGACATTTTGTGTGAAATGCAGCACTATTCAAGCTAAATCAACATGTGACACAGCCAGGATTCTAGAAAGACACATCAACAATGATTTTCAAACTAAAAAACATTCGAGTTCTCCTCGATTTTACGTCATTAAATAAATCAATTTATTTTAAGCTAGGCATAGCATTTATCATTACGAAAATAATTAGTTTCTTGAATGTGTTCTTTAGAATAATGAAGAAAAAAGATAAAATAATGATGCAAGCTTTTGTTGCGTAGTTCCAGGATGAGGTTTTCCGATCTAAATAAAGTAGGTTTCTCTCGGAATTAATTCAGTCTTAACTCACCTGACGCGATGCTCCCTTCTTTTTTTTTTTGTAATGAGCTCCTCGATGTTGTACTGGTCAAAAAGTAAATACTTCGAACTTTACCTTACACTATTTCAAAACTTTTCCTTCCGGAATGTTTTGAAAAACTAGAAGACCACGAGTTATAGAGAATCAATTAATACTCGCTCGTCCAACCCGTTCGATCTACTGTTGTTTTGACTTACCACAATCCCCTTCGAAATGGGTACGTCTAGAAGCCAATCAAATTTCAAACCTTGTAAATGCGCTGGGATATCCAAGTGACTCAAGAGTTACTATTCACGAAATTAGTGTCGTGCATTTTGTGCGTCCTGACACAACAGTCACCTACTAAACAAGGACATGGCTGACCGAGATGTACCGACCTACTAAACAGAGAGAGTCCGGAATTCGAGTGAAGACCATGAGCCAATCAGTAATCCTTGGCATTTCTTTAATCCACAAATTTAGTTATATCTTTTGCAAGAATCCTCCATCCGTGAGTTTTTTTCGACGCCAAAGTTACCGAAGCTCAAACCTTTTTAAATCCCTTCCCCCTTGCTGACACGCAATATTGATTTAGAAGAAGAGGGGTATGGCGAGGGGAAAAACTAATTAATACAAAGGAAGATTGAACTCAAAAGAAACATACTTGGTGAGTTGCCCTTGGAAAAATGCACATTGGCCCTCTAAATTTTTCTTGAGAATAAATTATGTTCAAGTTCAACAATTCCACACAAACAGAATTTAAGCGACCATTGGAACTGAGATCTTTAATGTAACTCATGTGGTAACAATCGCTCCCCTCCCCCCCTCCCAGCCCACTCCGTCTCATGACTTTTCCCATAAACAGATGAAATAAACAGTTGGCTGATTATGTTTTCCCAGATCTTGGTTTTCCTTAATATCATAAAATAAACTCTAGGCTGTTTAAGTACGGTTATCACTGTTATCACTCTTATCATCATCATTATCAGTATTGTTACTGCTGTTGTTGTTATTGTCATTAAAGATTTCCTTTGGCTTTTTTTGTACTAAGCCCAGCAGTTTTGAGCTTGCCAAATATTTGAATGAGGGAGACGAGAGACGGTCACAATAACATGCACGCTGTCCGAAAAACATGCTCGGTAAATGATCGTAGAATAAGTCATTTTTTCTCGGATATTCGCGTAATGTTAGCTTCAAGTGGAGGAAAATGTTCATTTGCCCCTTCTCCTGTTTCGGAATAATCTATAATCCGACTATTTTTGCATTCACTTTAAAAAAATCAAATACAACCAGTGCTAAATATTGGTCTAAAATTCACACTTTTGCAATGATCCTAAATTGAATTTTATACTAAATAGTTCAAAGAGGAAGAAGGAGAACGCCTTTCATTATTCTCCTCAATAATTTTGTTTTACGTTTACAAAGACTTCCGTCTCTGCTTTTAAGAGTCGGAGGTCCATTTACGGTTGTAGTTTTTTATATTCAACAGAATTTTTTTTTTTTTTTCGTGAGGCGTGCTTTCCCCATTCTTATGATCTTAGTTCGTTTAGCAACTCTCTGGCGAGCTTTATTTTGAATACAAATCCAGAATCAGCGATAAGAAATCCAACTATTTTCAAAAAATTGATGGAACAAAAGTATTGCAAATGAAATTGAATTGCATTCACACAGAACCGGGTCGCATCAATGTCACGAGGTGAAAAGAGGAACAAAAGTAGCCGGTCACGCCCCAGCGTCCTTCGATGCAATGCGCGCGCAAGGGCCATCGTGTTGCATTTTGGGACATATTTCCCCTATGAGCGTTTTTACCGCCATGATGGATCCCAGAATATGGGATCACAAGAAGAAAATTTGTCAAAGTCAGTCTTGAAAGACGACCTGACAGGACATAATGTTCAAAATGCTTTAAATCGATTTCCCTAGAGTTGATTTCAAAATTTTCTTAAACCTGCACGCTTTGTGCAGTGTTTCAAATTTTTAAATTTGAGCGCCGCTTTGGGAACTTAGGAGCGCGTCAAGATGAGTAAATTGTCGTTCAGAGCTCGGCAGCTGGATTCTAACAAACCTCTTCCGGTGTATCGGGCGGAGGAACTACCTGATTTGACGGAATTCAGCACCATAAACCGTGCCGTGCCTCAAATGCCCACTGGAATGGAGAAAGAAGAAGAAACTGTGAGTAAAATAAGTTGTCAACTCGTACTATTATGCTCATTTCTATTAGAGGATATAATGTACAAGCAACATTCAGAAAAATTACTCCAAGTTTCGAATCAGAGCATCAAGTTAAGAAAACTGGTAGTGTTTTGAAGTTTTATTTTTGGACGATTTCTCGAGTTTACAAGCTTCTTGAAATGTACTTAAAGTTTGTTCACGTGATATGTATGCGTAAACCCGCCATTTTTGAACGTGATCAAGGACGCTCACATTAATGTCTGCGAAATGCGGAAGTAGCCACAAAATGGCGCGATCGAAAAATATTTTCAAATCAAGGCCTGAAATCCTGTTAGCTTGTGTTTTAAAACATTTTACGTTGGTGCGATGCGAAGTTTCTTACGTTTTGGAAATTTATGCGTTGGCCTTTTTCTTGCCTCACAACTAAGTGCCTTGTAGGCTGACACATAAAACTGACGTTTGACAGAATAGAAAAAATATATGATGAATGAGAAAATCTTTTGAAAGGAATAGTTGTTGAAGCTATTTGAATTAAATTTTTCTAAGTAAATCTGGATTTTGAATGCATTGTTATAGAGATTTCTTCTAAATTTACCTCTAAATTTATTGCAATTATACAGTGATCTTAGTAATTCAACCTTAATTTTTTCTTGGAATGTTGAAATTTATCTGTATACATTCTTTTACATGTAGCCATATTACAATTAAAATGTTTGATCAAAACATTTAATAGGATTAATGAGAATAAGACAGTCATCAATGTTCTTAAATATCTATAAGGATAGGATCCCCTATATTTGTTTCCCTGATTAAAGCTTGACACTTCATGCACACACATGTACCTTAATTCTTTTAATATAAAACATTGAGATGCATGTTAGAAAAAGACAAAACATATAACAGTGCAATGGTGCATGCAAAAAAGTGATACAGTAAAAACAGGCAAGTAAGAACCTACATTTTTAGGAGTTAGCCTAAACAGGTTCTTATATAAATGGTACTTAACAAAATTTTAGGCTATTTAGGTTCTTAAAACAGGTTCTTATTCTTGGAGAAAAACACACCTGCATAACAAGTGGATAATTGTCCTATATTTTGTAACTACATATTTTGCACTCATTTTTCTTAATAAAATCATGTTTTACAGCAATGGCAATCTGCTTTTTCTTTGATTATGATTACAGTAAATAATTTCAGTGTACCTGTAATGTACTATATGATTTTAGAAAATAAGAGCCTATTTTAATTTTCTTAGGCTAAATAGGTTCTTGTTTATAGGGGGTATAAATGGCAAATTTTAGGCTAACAGGTTCTTAATTTTTAGGTTCTTACTTGCGGGATTTTACTGTAATATGCTTAAAAATTTGAAAATCCCCCTTTGTTAGTAGTGAGAGCAGCAAATGGAAGCAAGGAAAATATTTAAGTAGGGTTATATTGTTGTCATTTGAACCTTTAAAGTCTTCAAATTTCCTGTAAAAAGGTTTTGAGAGTCTTTGCCTCAGGGAAATATATGATATGAAGTTTTATCATTTCTGAAACTGCTAACAGGAACTTGTATGATACACTAACCATCATAACTTGATCATAAGAGTATTTGCAATTTATATGGTACATATACTCTCTGGAGCTGCAATTTACAGCTACTTGTCCATATTAAATGGATCCACATTATGGAGGCTTTCCTTTTAAAGACATTATGTTAGAATTTTGCTAAGACATAGAAAACAGAAAGTAAAGAAGCCAGATTTGTTCTTTCTGTTTAGGAACACCATCTTCAGAGAGCAATTTCAGCACAGCAGGTTTATGGTGATACTCAGCAGCTAGTGATTCCAACCCCGGACACAGAGGAAATCAAAGATAGAGTTGTTGAATTTCTGTACCATGACCCCTTCAAACAGCCAAAACAATACATCCATGTCCAAGGTTTGTTTACATGAGCTAGACAAGGTTGTTACAATTATTCATGAGAGTGTCATTTGCTTAGAACTCACCCAAAGTAATGTCATCACAAGGGTGTTGTCTTGATCTCTGCACTTCTGGTTAGCTCTTCACTGTCTACTCACTTGCAAAGGCCTTCAGTGAAACTGTGGCATTGTTTTCAAGGTGTTTTTTTTTTTTTTAGTTTAACTGCCAACCCCACTGAGAAGTCCTGTGCTAACCTAAATTGATTTATTATTTTTCATACTTAGTATGACAGGCAGGTAGTGAAGGGGTTAAATTGATCAGTGTAAAAACATTTTACAATGATCTCCATGACATCATTCATAACGGAAGAAATGTCTCTCCCTTTCAAGCTTTCAATTTTGAAGAGGAACTGCCCGAGTATGATATGGATTCTGAAGATGAGGAGTGGTTGAGGAACTTCAATAAAAAGAAGGTAATATTACATGTTCACAGTGAACCACTAAAGCAGGTCACACATTATGGAATGCATGACTTTGATGAGTAGGACTCATTGCTACTTTCTTTCTCTTATTTTGTCCTCTAAAACTCCAAACTTATCTCTAGTGACATTTGTGGACTTTTTGACTCAGCCTTGATGTTATCAACTATGCTTTTGCTAGTCAAATTTTCTGTCATTTGTCTTATGCCCTTATGCACGAGATTACTGTGTGGTGGATGTCCTCCCCTGGGGTGGGATGGGTGGGTTCACTGGGTCCGCAGTAATTAGCGCAAGCTGTTGCGGTGTCCCCACCTGTCGGCCAATCTAATAAATTAAATTAAATTAACAATTTTTACCTGTTCTCTTTGTAATAATTTTCTTTTGGATATCAACAAGTTCTTCCATCCCTTGTATAAGGGAGTTTGATTACACAGAGCACAGTGATCTAGTTTGGTATCTTTTTGCTATTTGGAAAGATAAAACTGAATTTGTCTTCTATCTTAGGAGCTGCTAACACCATTTAGATTTGAACAATTTCTCGACCAGCTGGAGAGGAATTCAGGAAACCAGGTGATTTATGACATGACATGTTTGTATTGTTATGTTTTGTTCTGGATGGTTTACCTACAGTACTTGGAAACTGACCAGCACATAGGGTTTTTTTTTTTTTGCATTGGTATAAAGGTGAAGCTATGTAGAGATAAATTTGAATCAGGAAGTCAACCACTGAAAGTCTGCAGTATGCTATTGTTTGAGAATAAAATAAAAAAAAAATGATATTTTGATTTGAAGAGGAAGAAAATTTCAAAAATGTAACACAAGATCTAACAGAGTCAAGATTAGTCAGTCAAAGTTACAAAATTAATGGGCAGTCAAGGTTTGTGAAGGAGGGAGCTCATTAATAGCAACATATTTTAGTTAACTCTTTTAATCATTTTGTTCATCTTATTCAAGGGAAATGATGTGAAAAATTATTATTTAGTAATGTTTTGTCAAATTCTTCTTTTCTTTTCCCAGGCGGTGTCTTTGAATGAAGCCAAGTCATTGTTGAAAGAAGGGGGTGACATAATAAAGCCACTCTATGAGTACTGGATCAATAAACGGAAGAAGCTGGTATGGGGTTGACATTATTCTAAGCTTACATTCTTTTTCTTTTTCAGTCCTACAAGTGCAACTTGAATCATAAAATGGCTGCAAACAACAAATACAAAAAAAAACACAAAAAACTACAGGATATGAAACATGAAAGTCACACTAGGTTTCAAGGATAGTGTAAGATTTTTAAAACTGAGAGCTCAACAAAGATTAAGGCTTTAATGCAGAATGTTTTGTCAAAAGGCTAAAATTCATAGTTTCAGTCTAATAGCATGAAGAGTTACGATTGGAAGAAGTGTCTGTTGAGGCTAGACAGTCATTGCTTGGTAGGTGATAATCAGCCATACAGGTGGTTTATTATATCCTCATGTTTGCATGTTGTTTTCCTTCAGAAGGATCTGGTGATATCACTGACCCCACAGCTTAAAGGAGAAAAGAGGGATGGTTCATCTGCTAGTGATCCATATGTTGCATTTAGAAGAAGAACTGAAAAGATGCAAACAAGAAAGGTATATAACTGATGGTTCAACAGAAAGTGTTTCCTTTTCAGATCCTTTGTGCTGTTTGGTGAAATTTAAACATTTGATTCAACATTTTCACCTTGTTTTTGCAGAATCGCAAGAATGATGAAGCGTCATACGAGAAAATGCTGAAGCTTCGCAGAGACTTGAATAGAGCTTGCACAATATTGGATATGGTGAAGAGGAGAGAGCAGTCAAAAAAGGAACATCTGCAGCTTACTATTCAAGTATTTGAGAAAAGGTACAAACTAGGCCAAGCACACTCCCAAAGAGACTGTAAAAAGATGTCAATGTTAAAGCAGGAGAAGATGTAGTCTCTAAAAGTTGCTGCTCACTCCCCGCTGATTGTTGTGTAGGACTGTGGATCAAGAGATCCAGATTTCAGCTCCGTTAGGGTCACTTTGTGTAACTCTTGGGAAGGGGGCAAGTTTGATCTTGCATCTCTCCATCAAGAATGTCCGTGGGTATTGGCAACCTGTCAAGGAGATCTGAATGACCTACTGCTGGGGTAGAGCGTGATTGATTGGCATCCCATTCATGATAGTAGTAATCGAATTTGCTTTGTGGTGTGAAAATCACGATAAGCTCTTGCCAGATGCAAGGCTGTGCTCTAAGAAAAAATTGATGGGAGCCCAGTGCTCTGAAACTGTGAAATCCAGGGTGCCCAACATATGCTTTTTATGAAAAAAACTAAGATTCCTCAGTCGCCCAAGAGTAAAAGTAAGTTGCCAGGGGCCATAGGGCCACAGACCTAGACCACAGCCCTGAGATGGGTTTCTAAGTCTTAGTGCTGACTTTATGGGTGTGAGAAAAGGATTTGAAGTTGATTTTGTAAACCCCTAACAGATTTAAATTCCAAACATTTTACCATAAAAGCCTACATATAAGCTGCACTTTTTTTTCCAAAAATCGTTGCTCGAAATTGAGGGGTGCAACTTATCTGCTGGAACATTTGAAAAAGGTATTGTCACTATTGACACTGGTGTCCAGTTTTTCACTTTGGTGTCCCATCTAATGCCTGGTTACTAATCGTCAAATGTTCTGCTCACGTTCCTGTTATATTGGAAAAATCTATGCAAAAACTGTTTTGAATGAAGAATTTCCTGTCAACAAATACCAGAAAAAGACCATGCATAGGTCAAAGTTGGTAGAAACAATGTTCATTATATTAAAGTGCTAAAATTGTGGGTAAGACTTTGAAGTATTTCCCATTGCAATATTGATACTGAGTTTACGTTCAATGGACAGTGGATGAAGAAGACTTCTCAGGACTCAACTTTGGATTTCTTTTGATTTCAAAAAACTTTTTTTCCAAAATTTGAGCTGCTAAATTCAGGGTGTGGCTTATCTGCGGGTGCAGCTTATCTCTGGGCTTTTATGGTATTCATTAATAGATTCTATGGGATATACTTTACCCAATTTTATTGTAAGTCTGTGTTAATCGAATTTCTCAGTAGCACTTACATGTATGAAAATTCATTATTATACACCTGAAGATAAATTATTTTTAAAAACACAATATCTGACTATTCTTTTTAGTCAGCTCTTTTTAATCCCATTTTATCTATTCTAGATATGCTGCTGGAGATTTTGCAGGCCAGATCCTTCAACAGTGCATGGATATGATCAGATATCAACCTCCAGCCACCAATCTCACTGTGCCAACTTCTGCAGGTTATGGTGAGAATGTAACACCAGGGTCAGGCACCGGAGGGGAGAGGGAACATGAATTGTGGAGAAGAGGAGCACAGGTAGAAATAATCTGTAATCCATAATTGAACTTCATCGTCATAAATTCTGGGTTTTAGTCTGTGAATAACTTTTTTCATATAATTATTTTTGCTTGGTTATCTTTCTCATGACATCTATCTTGAGACAAGTGCCCAACTTTAATGGCTGTCTTCGGTAAAGAGAGCCAACTGTACATTCATTGTCATCTCTTCTCTTCTTCAAATTTGGTGTATTTTCATTCTTGCAAATCTACATCTGCATTTTTCACATACAAAGACTATGAATAGAAGAACTCAATATACAATTTTTTTCTAGGAAAGGGCACGAGCAGGCAAGAATGACTACCTCAATGAATTAGGGTAAGCATGTCAGATTTGATAACTGACCATTTTGTAACATATAAAAGTATAGATAAGAACCAGTTATTGTTGTTTTCCTAATTACCTTGAACTCTTCTTCAGTATCAAGAGACCTAAACTTAGTCATCCAGCCAAGGCTCCCCACGTTCAACCATCTGGAGATCAGATGTTCAGCGATGATGAGGAACCAATTCACATCTCTCCACCTCCAGTAAGGCAACATACTAGAATGTGTAGTATAGTTGATTTTAGAATCAGCTTTTGAACAATGATTCAGTTTTTGAGATGTACAGGAAAGAATGAATGATACCTGACTGAAAAAATAAAATAAAATAAAATAAAGGACAAGCTGCAGTTCTAATCTTTGATTGACTTTGATTTTTCTTAGTTCCACACGTGTGACAAATGTTCTTTAACTTTAACCTTTTTGTGTTGTTTTGCTTGTGTGTGTGAACAATCTAGTTGTTGAAGGTGAGGTACCTCTTCTTGCTTATTCTCACGGAGTAACTTTTTCCTCCCATCAACCAGGTGGATATTCCATCAGAACCTGAAGACGATGAAGAAGATCCTGATGGTAGATTCGCATTTAAGAGAAAGCTTGGCGTCAGATACATTGCGGTTAGTTGATTCAAGTTTTTCGAATAAATGCACGAACATTTTTTTTTTAATGTGCACTAAACTAGCATAATTGATGTTTTGAATTCAACGAGTACTTTTATTTCGTTTGATGTTCCTCAGCCTCGATTCGATATGCCAGAGCCGCTGCCGTGGGTAGATCCCTCCCAAGGTGGTTTGGGTGATAAGAGATTTCGTTTTAGCTGTACATCAATATCATCGCCGCAGAGAGTCATTGGATTTGCGCGGAGGAGAGTGGGTCGAGGTGGAAGGTGAGACAGCTCTTTTACTCTCTGTGTGCTGATGTTTTCAATACTCCTGATCCACGTGCACAAAGTGATTTGTATACAATTGAACCTCTCCACAACGGTCACTCTAAGGACAGAAGAAAGTAGCCGTTGCGTAGAGGTGGCCGCTGTGGGAAGGTAGGGGTGTAATGTATAAACAGTCCGACGGGACTTAAAAAAGTGGCCGTTGGGGAGAGGTGGCCGTTATGGGGTAGGGGTGTAATGTATAAACAGCCCGATGGTACTTTAAAAAGTGGCCGTTGTGGAGAGGTGGTCGTTAGTGGAAGTTCGACTGTAATGCATTGTACGTGTATCTTGTTTTTTGTGTAGGATTTTTATGGATCGAGGCTACAGTCCTTTATCTGAAGACTTAGATGAGTTAGACATGCGTCTGAACGCTTTACCTTCATCGTCATTCTCGTTACCCAATGGTTTGTTTCCATATGACCACCTAACAGGCTGGAGGAAACCATCGCTGTAAGTTTTTAGTCTCTTTCACATGACTTTTACTATGATTTCTTGCTTTTAAGCCATGCTATCGGTAATTTTGCGTTTATCCTTTCTACAATCATGATATTGCGAAGTGCTCTCAACTTTCACCACTCTGCTGCTCACAGGTAATGAGTTTAGTTTCTCTTTACATCCCGATATGAAACCGGGAGACGAACCTTGGCTCTGAAAAAGTTTTAGTATGAGGGCGTTGAAGAACTTATTTTATGATTTATCTTTAAAAGGCTATTAGCCCTGTTGAGAGCATAATCTCAAATAGTTGGTCATTCATATTCCAAGTAATTGTCGCGAAGAAAACAATTTGTTCGGTATTGGCCAGCGTGTGCCTTTTGTCTTACTCATATATTTGTGTTATCTTCAGACCGCACTTCAGACCCAAATCGCCGCCTGCACAAGTATCCCTGTCGTCATTTTCGTCTTCATCGTTGTCGGAATCTATGCCTTCTAATAAACAAAGTGGAGAACCAAGACCTCGTGTTTACAGAAGCTTTTCTACACAACAGCGGTCGAAATTTTCTCTTAACCCCACCCCGACAAACGGGGTGGTAGGACCAAACTTTACGCATTCCACTCTGAACCGCAGCTCGCTACTAAATGGACCTTTATCAAATCAAGGTGGCTACACTACGGCGACGTTGCTTAGTAAAAACGCCGCGTACTCAACAGCGCCCGTGAAGGCGGTTTATGCATTGAACTTTCCGGTCAATTCAAGCCACGCACTGTCGAACAATTTGGTGCGGGGAAGCGCGCCATTTTCACCCACTTCTCATAACTCTTCGCCATCTACCGGTGCAGCGTCGAGGGCGAACGCTGCTGAAAGCTCTGGCGTGGAACAAATGTAAGCCATTTCAACATTTCTGGCCGGTATATGTTGTTGTATTAACACTTAAAGAGGTGTCCAGCTGCAGAGAAATCTGATTTTACGGGGGGGTGGTGGGGACGGAGGTCATGTTTGGGTATCTCACCGGACCTAACGTGGGATTGGTAGATAAGTGGGCGCGGAGGAGGATGGGGGTGGGTTGGGGCTTAGTGCTAGTAGCCTGTTGAACTGTCTTTTCAGAAGGCGAACGGAAAACTACCACGCAAGCTTTAGTGGTAGAAGGAGTCACATTTGCATCAGACTGTCATTCCTGAACGAGAGCGTTGAGCAGGCTAATTCACTCTTTACAACAGTTGATTGAAACTTAGATTTTCTTCGCCATTGAGTCATTTTTATCCAACATTGAAAATGTGCTTCCATCTTTGAACATTTTTTATTGTTGCTGTTTTTCAGGGATTTAGATGTAAATCGAGCTGATGGTCTGCTGGAAGGATTAGGGACCTCAGTCAACAGTTTACCAAACGCAACGTAGTATTCGTGGTATAATCGTAAATGGAACAGTGCAGCGTACTTTAGTGTAGCTATTAACCAGGTTTGAGGCCAGGTTGAAGGCGAAGACAACTGGTCTTGTAATGAGTGTTTTAAAACCTCCATTCCGTGGTTATGGGCCGTAGAAGCGTTGAAACTCTGGGGAATGTCTCGTACATTGGAATTTTCGAAGGACAATTACACGAAAGTGAAAACAGTTAAATATTTTAAAACCTTGATTAATTTCAAGACCTCTGTGTTGTGAACAGCAAATCTACTTCAGACACTCGATCATTGCAGTCGTTTCTGTACTCATAGTATTTACTTTTGGGAAACAAACTCAGTATAAACCCGACCTACTTCACTGTTCGTTCTCTCTAACTGCAGTCAATTTTCGCTCGGTACGTCAAGTTAATCATTTGGCATATTTTCCATAACCACGCGAAAAGTTTGTTATATGTTACAACAACGTTGCCTGAACAGCTAAATTGTTTTGGACAGGGTAACACTACTTTAAGTTGTTGCTGTGTTTTTGTGTGCAAAAATGAGTTTGAGGCTTGTTTTGCATCTTGCTAAAATTTGTATATTGAGGTTCACTTTCAGAACGCTTTTTTTTTTGTTATGGTTTTGTATGCTATCACGTTGTTTTGTAGTGTTGCTTTTGAAAGAACTGCACTTTCTTTCCGAGCCATAGTTAAGGAGAACGTTCAGTTGTATCCAACAAAAAATAAGACTAAAACCTCAAGCGTCGAAAAACTAAGTGAAGTTTGAATGTGGTAAAGAAAGAAAACATCCTGCTTGTGCTACAGATAGCCATGCCTCGTTTCTTTTAAACCTCCTTAAAACATCGACGGCTTAAAAAAAAAAAATACTCGAAACTTCAAGCGAAAAGTGGGCGATTCCTGTGTGGTTGTGTACGGACCCGATCAGTGTACAAAGTAAATAAAATCCGATCGATGTTCCCGTATTTTTTAAAACATTATTTATTACAAATTATAGGAAGATTATTTGCGTATCGTCAATACACTTGACTGTGTTAGCTAGGATACGAGAATTTGACATGTACAGAGCGCGTTGATGAGCTGTACAGCGCAATTGGCCACAGGAAGCTAACACTCTGTTCTGCGTACTCAGTACTCAAGCAGTTTGAATTCAATTGTCCTTAGATGAAACAAAGTCCTATATTTTATAAAGCAATCCGCAATGTCCAAACCAATACACTCTTTGTACAAGTGCCACTTTCGTATTTCCTTCTAATGTATTTGTGTACAATAAAAATTGCTGACGACCAAACAAATGTCGGAGTGTTTATTAGCGGGTCTCACGTGTTTCCAGCGAGGTATACTAGCTATATTGTGATGAAGGAAGCTTAGTGTTCACTAACCTAAGCATTTGAATAAGTTCTTGCAAGCTATCAAAGAGGAGTCGGAATTAAATGTTGAATTGGCTATTGTATTTTTATTGTTCATTTGACGAATCGTTGGTGAATATTCTGCATCTCGTAATCTCCTCACTGCTCGCCTGAGATGCAGAAAAATCAAAGTGCTGCAAGAGGTGGTGCATCACTCCCTGTAAATGGCTGGCAATACACCTTACACCTTACATTTCAACCTATTAGAACGATATTTTTTTCCCAAAAATAGTCACTAAGGCACTTACAAATCAAGTGTTCGACTCGATGTCGAAAGTAATCGAAGATCCTGTTAGCCTTGCTTTACTTGATCCTGTGATAGGAGCGTTGTTTCTTGCTTCGTGAATTTACTGGTTTTCTTCCAGTCTACTTTGTCTTCTCCCTGATTGGCTTTTACAATTACATTGGTTTTGATTTCATGACACCAAGTAAAATTGCATCTTAGTGAGAAAACAAAAACAATTTTTTTTCGCGCAAACTTCCCGTGAATATTTCCTGCGCAAGGTATCTTTAAAGGTTCTGCTGCGAGTACTACATTATCAGAAATAAAATCTGAATAATTAGGTTCGTTTCATGTCCTATTCTGTCTTTCTTCGAGAGGTGCACGACTACACGACTGGGACAGCAGCTTCTGCCGTCTCTTAATAAAGGATTTTCTTAACGAGTGAGAGGGGTTGCCAGTTATAGCATCATTCGCAATCAGGCTGATTCTCAATTTACTTTCTGAAGTTATTTGTCATCTAATCTCAATCTCTTGGGGATGATCAGTCAATCAAGGTCTCGCTTCATTCCTCTGCACATGGCGGGACCGTAGTCTCTTCACCTGACTATGTGCTGTGCAAATCTGGCAAAACGGACCCTACAAAACAAATAGCAACCCATATTAGCGTGCACTTGTGTTTAGTCCCTCTATTGTCTGTGGCTTCATGCGAAGGCCACCATGGAAAATACCACAACATTATTAATATGTAGCTAGATTGAGTGGTACTTGTACAAGCCAGTTTTTTTCAATGTCTTTTGTTGTTAGTACAACCTACACGAGCTTCAGTTGAACCTCTTGACAATTTGCACACTGGGTAATTTTTTTCACAATGAAAGCAACATTCACTTGCTAGAGCATATGCAGTTTTTGGTTCTGTCCTGGTGTACCGGTTCACAAGGGAATTACCATTGTTCTTCATTTGTTTATTTATTTGTCATCGGTTAGCTATTGTGTATTGTTTGGTCTTTTGTATTGGCTCTTGTGAACCGGTACACGAGGACAGAACCCAGTTTGTCTCTCGTTTGTACAAGCACTGCCATGCTAGAATAGGACTCTTGAATAATTAATCCTTGGGAAGCCCGAAATTGCGCAAAAAAGCCAGCAGGAGAATTAGGCTTCTATAAGTCACCACCCAAACCTGCGTAGAGAGGGGTGGGAGAGTACTGCCTATGCACTTCATTTGCAATGGTGCGGCCGGCCATCTGCGCATGTCTGATGGTCCGGCGATGAATCAGTGCCAAACACTAACTTTGATATCTTCAATTGATCAATAGGGACCTTAAGAAACCACGACGGCGACGCCAAGGAAGACTTCGATTAAAAAATGAATTTCTACTCTTAGTTAGAATTTCAAAAATGGCTGCAGGAGCTTACTGTTTCATACAGCGCCACAGCTCAACTTCAGCATGATGTATAAAGTAGCCGTTGAGTTCCAAATGGAAATCAAAATAATTTGCCGTCGCGGTTTCGGTTACCAGACGACGCAAATTTTGGCGATTTCACGTTGTTGTTTTGCATAGGACGGCTAGGAAATGTACAAAATTTCAAAACGCACGTGCTGAGCTATTGTTTTGCTGATTAGATCTCTTGTTTTTCCACGTCCTCGTTGCCGCCGCCGTCGTGGTTTCTTAAGGTCCCTATTACTTACCACGTCACGCGCTGGTAAACAATCTTCATGATAAACATGTTTACAGAAAAAAACCACAACGTGTGAAGTTCGTTTTGTATCTGAAAAACAAAATCATTCTCTTGTCAAAAAATATACCTGGTACACAAGAAGTGCAAACTACGAGGCTTTCACAACTGATGAAAGTAATGATGGGGAACAGGTCAACCTTCGGGACGAAGCAAGATCAAGAAAGACACTGAATCCCGTTAACAGTCTAGATATTTTTCAATATTTTTCATCAAATTCGTTTACGGAGAGCGGAGAATCTAGAAAAACCACTGCGTCGCCAATGAACTTCACTCGGACATTCCATGCGGCGTGAATCCCTTCTCCACAAAACATTTAAACACGAAGGCGCGCTACCTAATGAAGTCCTAGGCTCATTTGTCACTCACCGTTGACGTGTGCGGGCCAAATTTAAATGCTGGTAGACGAACAAAAGGAGCTAATGAGATATCTATTGTTTACTTCCACCAGCATGGTGGCAATGAGGAAACATGCGAACCACCTACTTCGATCTCAAATTTACCGCCACAAATAAAGACAGTGTCCATCGGAGAAAGGAAATACAAATCTCAAAAATTCTTCTATTGTGATGAAGACATAAAACAATTTTGAGGAATGCGCCCGCTGTTCACTGCTTTGGAGTAGCTGTAGCTCAAGCTGACTTGACTCCAAGAGTTCTACATCACACGACGATTGATTGACAAATGGTCCAGTAGGACCTAAGGCTCCTTTTATAGCGCGCCTTCGTGTTTAAGCAACACACGAGGTTAAAAAAAAGAAATAATAATAACAAAAGCAATATTTCAGAAGACCAGAATTGTGAATTCTCTAGGGAATGCGTTTTGTTCTAACATTTCTAGTGTTGTCGTTCGAAACACCACAATGGAAGGAGAGGCATAAAAGACGCGAATTTCCAACCAAAGAACAAGACACATCTGAACTTGGTGAGGTGGGAACCTTAGTATCGACCGGAATACACAGTCAAAAATGTAAACACAGAAAAACGGAGAGAGGATCAAGGATAAGCCGTCTCACATAAAAGCGGACATTTACTTCTTCTTCCTGTCTTTTCCGTTTTTTGTTGTTGCTTTTGTTGTTGTTTTTTGCACTAACCTTCCGCAATAACTGTTCCTTGACATACGGGACACTTTGTTTCATCTACAACGACAAAACAAGACCTAAGTATATGAGTAACAATAAAAGTTCAAGGCTGTGCTCTAAGAAAAATTGAAGGGAGCCCTGTGCTCAGAAACTGTGGAAATCCAGGGTGCCCAGCATATGCTTTTTATGAAAAAACTAAGATTCCTGAGTCGCCCAAGTAATTATAACATAATCAAAGTAAAGCGCGCGCTCTGATTGGTCAATTTAGCATCCCCCATTTGCCCATGGGTGTACGCTGCTGACGCGAACAAATGCAAAGACTATTTTTCCGCGCGCGCTTGT